CGATGCAGTATTTGTTCTTTTGAGATATTTCACCCAGCATAATGTCCTCCAGGGTCATCCATTTTGCATGCTATTTCATGAGTTCCTTGTTTTTCAGTGCATCGTAGTATTCCATTGTGTGAATATACCACAGCTTCACTATCCATTCATTTGTTGATAGGCACTCAGGTTGTTTCCAACTCTTTGCTATTGTATGAAGCCATGATAAACATGGTTGTGTATTATATCTGCTTGAGTGGCTGTTATGGTGTCTTTAGGGTATATTTCCAGTAGTGGACTTGCTGGGTCAAATGATATTTCTATTTCCAAATTTTTGAGAAAGCACCATACTGCCTTCCAGAGTGGTTGCACCATTTCACACTCCCACCAACAGTGAGTAAGGGTTCCAGTTTCTCCACAACCTCGCCAGCATATGATGTTTGCTGTTCTGTTAAATTTTGCTATTCTTACTGGGGTGAGATGACATCTCATAGCTGTTTTGATTTGCATCTCTCTTGGCACGAGGGATTTTAAACATTCCTTCATGTGTTTGTTTGCCATCCAAATGTCTTCTTTGGTGAAGTGTCTGTTCATATCCTGTGCCCATTAATCCCTTCTTATTTTTAAGAGGCAGTGTTCCTCTGCTCTGTTCTCACAACAGCCTCCTGGTCAGGTATAGGTTCAACATGAGCACAATTAAGTGATCTGAAACTCCCATTCTTCTCAATGTCAGCCACAACTTGTTATTATTTACACAGTCAAACACCTTTGCATAGTCAATAAAGAACATATAGACATTCTTCTGGTACTTTCAACTAGGATCCATCGGACATAAGCAAAGATGTCCCTGATGTCATGGCCTCTTCTAAATCCTGATTGAACTTCTAGCAGTTCCCTATCTATGTACTGTGCCAGCCATTTTTTAATGATCTTCAGCAGTATTTTGCTTGCATGTGATATCAATGATATTGTTTGATGGTTTCCACATTCATTTGGATCACCTTTCATGGGAATGGTAATAAATATGGACCTCTTCCAATCCATTGGCCAGACAGCTATTCTCCAAATTTCCTGGTATAAATTGGTGAGCACATTCAAGGCTTCATCTGTTAATTGAAATAAGGCAATTGGTATTCTATCAATTCCTGGGCTATTTTGTTGTTATTGTTGCCAATGCCTTCAATGCAGTGTCCACTTCTTCCTTCATTACCATTGCCTCCGGTTCATATGGTACTTCCTGAAACTGTCAACAACTTCATCTGGCTTGGATGCGCATTTACGCCCTTAGTACCAGCCATCAGAAAATAAGGAGAGAAACGCATTGCACTGGGAAAATCTGCAGTTAGGGACCTCTCCAAATTATTGAGGAGTAATAATGTCAGTTGGAGGTTTTAGGTGCATCTGATTCAGGCCATAGTATTTCCAATAATTTGATATGCATCTGAGAGCTGGACAGTGAATAAGAATAACAGAAGAAGAAATGGTGCCTTTGATTTGTGGTGTTGGAGAATAGTACTGAACATCCCATGAATGGCCAAAAGAACAAAGAATTATATCTTGGAGAGGATGCAGTGCGAGTATTCTTTAGAGGCAAGAATGACAAAGCCTTGCCTCACATGCTTCGGGCATGTAGCTAGGAGGCGCTGTTCCTTGGAGAGCAACTTGATGCTATGAATGATGGAGAGTTGGTGAAGGAGAGGAAGACCCTCAACCAGACGGATTGACACGGTGACTGCCACAATGGGCTCTTGTATGTCGGGAAGTATGAGGATGGCGTAGGATAGAATCTTTTGTTCATAAGGTCACTAAGAGTCGTACTCAACTCGACAGCACCTAACAATAACAATAGTATGCTTGAGATATCTAACAATGTTCCACCAGTAATTTCTTAGCTAATGTTAACTTATTCTTTCCCTCCAAACATGGTTCAACATGAAGCTGTCAATAACCCAAGAATCAATTGCATAAAATAGGGACAAAATTTTACATTTTCTAAACCAAAGCACCCAAAGGTCCTGTTTGCTCTTAAAATTTTCACACGATTCTTCAAAACTGAATTTTCATATGATCTCATCCTACTTTGTCAAGATTAGTTATCCACAGTGGTGGGAATGTTCCTTATCTCAAAGATGATAACCATTAGCCACTTGTGGCAAATGAGAATTTTAAATGTGGTGAGCACAGATTAATAACAGATTTTTCAAACTTTCTTCCACATTGGCAAGTGTCTATCATTTAGGGCAGCACAGACCAGTAAGTAACTTCTCTTTCTCCTACAATAAATTTGAAAATAAAACCCCAATTGTCTTGAAAATGTAGTCTGTCACTGTCTTATCTCCTGTATCTCATTTATCTTACAGTCTTCTCTGAAAACCATTCTACTCCTTTCATCTCTACCTTTGCCCATAAATAGTTGTTATGTGCCATCAAGTTGGAATCAGCTCATAGCTGAACCTCCAGTTGGTTTTCAGAAGCAAATCATTTCAAGGGAAGAAATTGCCCATCTTTCTCTCACAGAGCAGCTGGTGGATTCAAATCGCATGCCTTTGGGTTGGCAGTGCAACTTCTTACCATCAAGCCACCCGAGCTCCCGCCACCACTAGTTGTAGTTGTTATTGTGTACTGCCGAGTCAGAACCAACCCAGAGCTGAGCCTCCAGTGGTTTTTCAGAGGCAGTTAATCACATGGGAGGAGGTTCCCCATCCTTTTCCTGTGGAGTAGATGGTGACCTCAAACTGTGTGCCTTTGAGATTGCAGCACAGCTTCTTGTTACTAGGCCACCAGTTATCCAAAAATCTCTGTCCTAAAAATAATTATCATAAAGAACTTAGCTAATTTGTAGTTTTAAAATATATAATATCAATAAAATTTTAATAACAGTGATGAAATCATGGCAAGAATGACAGAGATGGAAAAGATAATTTTTAGTCCTTGGCAGTTACATTTAATAGTCCAAGTTAGCATATTTTTAAAAAAATGGGTTGGTTGAAACCACGTATTTTCTTCTATACTGTCATATAGTACACTCTTCATTTTTAAAGCGTGTTTGTAAACTATAAGTACTAACATCCAACGTAACTTTATATTCATTAGATCATTCTTAAACTAAATAATTTGTAGAGCTGACTTCTCAGTAAATCATATACTTCCTAGCCTCCTGATGTTGGATTGAGTCCAGCTCATAGAAATCCTCCACCAGGTTTCCGAGACTCTAGTCTTTATGAAAAGAGACAGCCCATCATTCTCCCGTGAAAAACTGGTGGATTCAAATGCCCAGCCTTTGGGTTGGCAGGTTCATACACTGTGCACTTCATCACCAGATCTCCTTCATATGACATTGATATTCTAAAAACTGAGGGAAGAAGGCTTTTCTTAGGACTTCTGTTGAAATTCCTACTCTTCAGTGAATAGTGAAAAAGTGAAAGCTTTTCTGCTTTCTTTGTTAAGAAAAGGGAGAAATTTAAAAAATCAAAAGCAGTGTTTTAACTATTTCTAATAAAAGTCACTCAGGTATTAATTAGAAACCATTTAGGAAGCAAAACCTAAAATAATATACAGTCCTTGCAGAGAAGGAATGACTCACAAGGCAGACATGCAAAAACTTGAAATACAGAGCCTGAGCAAAAGAAGGATTGACTAACTCTACCTGAGAAGGTCAGTGAAAGAGAGAGAGGGCACAGCAGGTGCAAAGTGTAGAATCTACAAGGGCATGGGCTGTTTGGGAGATGTCTCTAGGTCAGTTTTACTAGATCATATGGAACATATTAAACTGAACATTGATATGACCATGGAAAAAAGTCGTTTAAAAGTCATATATCCATTAGGTATGACTAGGCCTGTTATATCCAGTCCAGTGCTCACTACTTAGAAGTTGTTGTTAGGTACAAGTAGCCGTGTACGTTTTAATATGTTAATGGAAATGATATAAAATTAAAATTTCAGGACCTGAGTTCTAAACATTGCCAGGTCCCACTGAGTTGATTCTTACTCATGGCAACTTTTGAGCAGAGTCAAGCTGCTAGCGTTTTCAGAACTATCACCTTCTCGAAGCAGATTGGCAGACTTGTCTTGCAAGGAAACTCTGGGAGAACTTAAACCACTAACCTTTTCATTCCTAGGCCAGCATTTGCATTTACTCATGGATTCCTCAGTCCTAACTAGTTTCGGTCTTTGACAGTCACATATGGCTACTGTTTGGGACAAAGCAGATACAGAGCATTGCTTTCCTCAACTGAAGGTTCTACTGGGCTTTGCTGATTCAAACTGCTGAGTTGCCAGTAAATAAATGCTCCGAAGAAAATAAGTTCAGTGGCCAAATAAGTTTAAAAATACTCTTGGACATTCAAACAGTACAATAGTGTAACAAAGACCAGAGAAGTTTTACAGGGAAAAGAATGTGGTTCAACTTTGTTGAACCTGTTTTTCCCATATTCCATTTTCATTGAACCCTGACTTTTGAAGATAGCTCACTTTACATGTGATAGAAGTGATACTTCACAATTAGCAGTTTGGGAAATATTTTCTGAATACTTGGTAATTACTAGTAGTATTTAGGTGAAAGAATAATTAGAATGGATTTTGTCAGCTAATGTAACTACTCTGACAACTATGCTAAGAATGGATGGAAGAAGAACAGAATTGAAAGAGGGGAGAGCAGATAGGATGTACCATGTAAGAAGGCAGCTATGGGAAGAGGAAGCAAGATGTATGCTACAGTGTTTTAAGAGGTGAGATATGATGGATAATTGATTATAGAAGGCCAAGTACAATGGTTATCTAATATTTAAACTTAGTCCACAAGAACTGATATGAAACGTATACTCATCATCATTCGTTTCTGCTACATAGGCAAGAAACAGTGGCCAAGATGGGTCCAAATGCCTCTCAATAAACTCAGATGGATACAGAGGCACACAGATGCATCAATGGCAAACATTAACACATTCCAGGTGGCTAATAGATAACCCAATAGGTGTGCAAATTTGTTTGATGCATTCTTTCTTGTTTTCTTCATTAGATCCCCTCAGCAGAGTGTGTTTAAGACCAAAAAATGTAACTGATTCTTTGAGCACCTACATTAATGCTAATTATATTCGGGTACGTAAATAAGTATACTTTTATTTCTGACAACCGTTTGATTTACTACTTGCAATTGTTGGTTTTACTTCCTTCTTAAAATAGATTAAGTTTGCAATTTAGCTTGGTTAGATGGTCCAACTTTGTTTAGTCCAGGTTTTCGCATATTTTTAATTGAACCTACTAGTTTTCAAGATGGCCTAATTTATATGTCATAGAAACAATGATTCACTTAATCGTTTGGGAAATACTTCTATTGGCAATTGGGAGCCACTAATGGGACATCATGCTTGGCAGGGTGGATGGACAGTGCAGCAGGGGAAGGCCCTCTATGAGGTGGATTGATTCAGTGACTGGGACAATTGGGATGGGTGTGTCAGAGATGGTGCTATTGGCACAGGACAGAGCGAAGTTTAGGGTTGCTATGAGTCGCAAGCGACTCAACGGCACATAGCAACAACAACAATTACATTTAAGCAACTTGGAAAGAGATTACACACACACACACACACACACACACACACATATATACATATATATATTATATATGCAACTTGTTTAGTAGAAAGAGATTGTATTTTGTTTAATCATAACCAACATTTGCAATGGAGTTCTTCACTCTGAGTGTGTGGTTGGGATGCTCTTATAAGGTGCATGGGTGTGGAATGAGAATTAAGACCCCCAATACTACTAACATACCATAATGATATATATGCTTTACTTATCGTAAAATTTACTGTGTTATTTGTGGCACCAGAGACAATGGGGCTACCATAGTATGCACTACTTTTTAGGACTAGCACAGGCATTTTATTCTAAAGATTTTTCACTTAAACATTCATTTTAAAGCATTCACTTAAAAGCTAACCTATTTGTCTCTTAACTCTAACTAGGGCTACAATGGTGAAGAGAGAGCATTCATTGCCACTCAGGGCCCCATGATCAACACTGTAAATGACTTCTGGCAAATGATCTGGCAGGAGGACTGTCCTGTGATTGTTATGATTACAAAGCTCAAAGAGAAAAACGAGGTATGATCTTTAGATCTAGTACTGACTATTATACTGTCCTACTGCTGCAGAAAATAAATTTTAGGAATAAGCATACTATGTTCTTAATTCCAGAATGAAGATTAAAACTTTGACACATTTCAAGGTTAAGCCACTTTTATGCTTTTAAAAATGATGGTTGGTATTGGTGCTATTATGTAAGTGATGACTTTATTTCAGATAAGTCAGTGTACTTGGTGTATATGCTACTATTTCTCTTGTAGCCAAAGATCTCAGTAAGGAAGTAAGGGGTTATGAATAGCACCCCGATTTATAGACAAAGTTTTAGATTGCTTATTTATTTGTTGTTGTTTTTTGTGTACTGTTGAGTCAGAATCAACTCATTGCTGACCCTTTTGGGGGTTTTCAGAGGTAGTTTAATCGCACAGAAAGAGATTGTCCATCTTTCTCCTGTGGAGCAGCTGGTGGTCCCAACAGAGTGCCTTCAGGATTGCTGCATACCTTCTTAACTCTAGGCCACCATGGCTATCTATCTATCTATCTATCTATCTATCTATCTATCTATCTATCTATCAAATATTTTTATAGACGCTTATGAGTTGGGAGGGTGGAGGGACAGCACAGGAGAAGAAGACCCTCGATGAGATGAATTGACTCAGTTACTGTGGTAATGGGGGTGGGGGTGTGTCAGACAATAAGATTAGCACAGGATAGAGGTTTAGGTCTATAGGCTATTTAACGACACATAACAACAATGTGAGTTTTCGGGAGCTCTGGTGACCTTGTGGTAAGAATCAACAATGCACTCACGAAGGCATGTGGTTATAATGTGCCAGCTGCTCCAAAGAAGAATGATGGGCAATCTCCTCCCGTGTGATTACTGTCTCTGAAAACCCACTGAAGGGTCAGCTATGTGTTGGTTCCAACTCCTTGGTACACAACAACAACAATGAGTTGTGGTGTGACAGAATAGTACAGAATATCTCATGCACTGCCAAAAGAACAAAGAGATAATGTCTTGGAGAAAATATAACCAGAGTGCTCCCTAGCTGGAAGGATACAGTAGCTTCAGCTCACAATACTTTTGGCATGTTTTTCGGGGAGATGTTGTTGTTGTGTACTGTTAAGTCAGAACTGACTCATAGCTGAACCCACCAGTGAGTTTTCAGACACAGTTAATCACACATAACTGAATTACCCATCTTTGTCCCACACAGCTGCTGACGCATTTAAACCATGTGTCTTTGAGTTGGCAGTGCAGACCCCTACCACTAGGCCACCAGAGCTACCTCGTAGCAGGCTAGTCCGTGGAAATGGATATCGTGTTTGGAAAGGCAGGAGGTCAGCGAAAGAAAAGAGCACTCTCAATAAGATGGATTGACACAGTAACTGCAGAAATGGGCTTAAGTATGTCACAAGTGACGAGAATGGTGCAGGATAGGACAGGGTTCAGAGCCATTGTTCAGAATTGCTCTGAGTTGTACAGGACTCAATGGCACCTAACAACAACAAAAACAACTATGACATGGTACTGTTGTAACCATTTGGGTCAGATTAGTGAATAAAATACACAAAATCCTTGGTTGAATCAACATTCTAGTAGAGAAGACAAAAATAAACTTAATTCATAAATTATAAAGTACATTGGAAGGGTAGGTGCTATATAGAAAAATAAAAAATAGAGGAGGTTAAGGGGTTAAGTGTAGCACACAATGAGGAGATGAGGAAAGGAAGAAAGGGGGCTGGGTTTTTACATGGAGTGGTCAAGAAGAGCGCAATAAAGAGATCAGATATGAACAAAGGCTTAAAGGAAGTTACAGACACTTGATAACTTTCTCAAAATCCTCCAAATAAGAAAACCAATAAACAGCCAAAAAATATGATCCTATTTTCTTTCTTATTATCTTTACTAAGGATTTAACTTGAATACTTGTTCTGTATGTTAGATTGTATCTGTGTAAGAGTCTAAAATCCATGGCAATTAGCATTTCACTCCAGCAACAATAGTGAAGCTTACTACAGCAACAACCAACCAGTGCCAGTGAGGATGTGGAGAGACTAGAACTCTCATTCACTGCTGATGGGGATGTAAAAGGTACAGCCACTATGGAAAGCTGTCTGACACTTTCTCCAAAGGCTAGATATAGAAATACCATTTGACCTAGCTAGCCCACTACTAGAAATATACCTTAGGAAAACCGGAGTCGTGATTCGAACAATGTGTGCATACTCATGTTTATTGCTATGTTATTCACAATCGTGAAAAGATGAAAGCAGCCCAAGTGCCCATCAACAAATAAATGAATAGAAAAATGATGGTCCTTTCACACAATGCAATATTATGCAGTTAAAAGAATTAACTTATTAAACACTCTACAACACAGGTGAGTTTGGAAGACATTATGCTGAGTGAAATATCTTAATCACAAAAGAACTAATACTGAATATCACTGTTATAAAAGATAATTAAATGGCTTGTTGAGGGAGAAAAGGAAAAGAGTAGATAGATAATGAACACTGCACTGGAAGAGATGAGGGAAAGGACCATTTGAAAGGGCTGTATGACTAGGCAATATGTTGTTGTTGTTGTTGTTATGTGCCGTCGAGTCGCTTGCGACTCATAGAGACCCTATGTACAACAGCCCTAAACTCCACTCTGTCCTGTGCCAATTGCACTGTCTCTGACACACCCATCCCAATTATCCCAGTCACTGAATCAATCCACCTCATAGAGGGCCTTCCTCTCCTGCGCTGTCCCTCCACCCTCCCAAGCATGATGTCCCTCTCTAAGGACCAGTCTCTCCTCACAACATGTCCAAAGTATGTTAGATGGAGCCTCAGAATCCTTGCCTCCAAGGAGCCACCCGGTTTAACCCTTTCCAGGACAAATCTGTTTGTTTTCCTAGCAGTCCATGGTATTTTCAATACTCTTCTCCAGCACCACAGCTCAAAGGCATCAATTCTCCTTCTATCCTCATTGGTCATTGTCCAACTCTCTGATGCATAACAGGTGATTGCGAAGACCATAGACTGTATCAGACGCACCTTAGTCTCCAGAGAGACACCATTGCTCTTCAGTACTTTGGAGAGGTCCCTAACAGCAGACTTTCCCATGGCAATGCACCTTTTAATTTCCTGGCTGCTGGTGCCAAGACTTAGGCAGTATATGTATGACAAATAACAATCTAGAACAAGAGGTGAATTACAAAGTGAACTGTGGGAGAGGGGTGAGAGGAGAAAGGAGGAAAATGTGCAACACTGAATAAATGAAAACCCAACTTTTCTGTAAACTTTAATTAAAACCACCATAAAATTTTAAAAAATTAAAAATAAATAAAAACAGAGCTTTAACTCCATTTTAAGGTCTTGACGTGAGTCTGGAATCCAGATTGGATTTTTAACTTTATTATTATTATTACTACTACTACTATTATTTTTAATGAAAATTTACAGATATTTTGGATTTGCATTCATTCATTGTTGTACTTTTCTCCCTCCCCACCTGTTACCTTCACCCCTCCCTTCATCCTTCTCTTTGAAAAGTAAAAGAAAAATTCTTTCATTGTTATACAATCCCTCCCCCCAAGTCCACTCCACTATACAGCCACTGTTGTAAAAGGAGACATAGGGGTTGGGGAGGAGACTGAGAAAGATGGGACAAGTTATGTATACTGCATTGAAACAGATGAGGGAGAGAACTGTTTAAAAGGTATATATGATCATTGTCATAACATGAGTCCAGATTGGATTTTTAAGGTACTTTTCCAAATCACTGTCCCTTAATGACTGTCCCTGTAGCCTTAATGACATAAGTATAAACTTTAAAGACAATATTGCATTTCTCTGAGCCCTGTCAGGTGAAGGACATCACAACCTATTACCAAAGGATATTTTCACTGTAATCAAACATATGCAAAAGGTAATAGCTTGTGATCAAATATCTTGGGGCATAGCATTGTAATAGATATTTGTAATTGACCTCTAAGATATGAACAAGGAAGTAGTTTTATTAATAATTACCAGAAAAACCTGTGTAATTGCCATACTGTATCATCCTGTAATAGTCTAAATGCATATACTTTTGACCAATCATATAAGCTAATTTGTGTGTATAAATCTGTTCTTACCAAATTCTGATGGTCCCCATTTAGCTAATTACAGGTTGTTTAACTTTTAGTTCCTACTCTGACAGTTTCAACTTGTACCCGCTCCCTGTTCTGGGAGTGTGGCTATTTTCACTTTATTATTACAATGGTTATATCCATATCTCTACTCCTCTATAAACTACCTTTACTTTTAAGTACATTCCATGATGTTGCTCTGTATCATGCCATAAAAATAAAATTGTGAAATTCCAAAGAGTACCTTTTACATTTTAAGGTGCCCTTAAACACATATCTTGTATGATATATGATTAAAGCATTTACTTAAAATCAAAAGAGGCTGTTGTTAGATATCAGTGTTGTTAGGTGCTGTTGTTAGGTACTGTTGTTAGATACCAGCTTATAGCAACCCTAGATACAGCAGAACAAAGCTCTGCTGGTCCTGTACCATTCCCACAGCCTCTGCTGTGCATAAACCCATTGTGACATTGTGTTAATCTACCTCACTGAGGATATTCTTCTCATTCCCTGACCCCCTACCTTTCCAAGCATGATATCTTTCTCCAAGTACTGCCACCTCATGACAACATGTCCAAAGTATGTGAGACAAAGGCTTACCATCTTTACCCCTAAGGAATAGCTTGGCTGTACTTCATACAAAAGCTTTGTTTGTTCTGACAGCAGTCCACTGACACAATGCATCTCACTGCCTTCCAGTCTGAAGCAGCTCATAAATCAACCTCAACTGGGTTTCCAAAGTTGTAAGTTGCATGAGAGGAGATTGCCCATCTTCCTTGAAGTCACTTGTGGATCTGAACTCTGGAGAAGCTCTGTCTTTGAGTTAATAGGGCAATTTCCTGCACACTACCCTATCAGAGAGCCTTTAAGAGAGATGAAGCCAAAATACATTTCATATTA